TGCTGAACCTGTGAAAATTCCAGATGTCACTTCAAGTCCAGAGTGCGCAGTCACTGTCAACAGGCACACAGGCACACGTACGTGTACACAGATGCATGGACGCGTGCACACGCACACACACACACACACACGGCTCCCAGAACACAGAGAGGAAAGGCCTTCTGGTTGCAGATGAGGGACCGAGTCTCTCAGAGGCAGATGGACCTCACGGCCATCGGGGGGCATAGTCAGGCTCAGCACTGAGGGTCTCCTGTCCCTTGGGAAATAGCACACCCCCCCGCTCCCCACGGCAGCACCTACTCAGGTGCCTCTGGAGGGAATAGATCTGTGGATTGTACATGACCGGGGATGAGTGAACAGGCCCAAGCCTTGACCTTGGGCCCAGAGGCTTGGGTGGACCCTGAGCGGGGTGGAGCGCCCTCACATGGAGATTCCCACCCCTGCGTCCCCCTGGGGCCCCTCAGCACCCTGTCTTGCTCTCTCCTGGCCCCGTCCCCTCCTGCCCAAGGCTTAGGGCTTCTCTCTGTAAGGTCAGTGAGTTGGTCTGAGGAGGCCAGTTTCTTTTGCTCAGAAGTGCAGTGGACATCAGGGACTACAGGACCCTCGAAGAGACCACCAAGTTAGAAAGATTAAAAAACCCAAACGTCTTGAAGTCAAGTTCTGTTAGAAGCATCAGGACGTGGGTAACATGGGTCTCTGAGTGGTGGGTTTGCTCAGATTCCCAGCAACTCACCACGGGTGCTTCTTGATTTCTTTAAGAAGTCGTCCTAAATGATTATGTGCAAATCTAATTTCCAAAAGTGACGTATTTTTTAAATGTTCTGAAGGAAATTTCCATTTTGAGAAACTCTTGTTTCCTCACTCTGTGTACAAGCAAAGGTGATTTTGAGATGATGTACGTTTATCAGTTTTGGAGTTATAACACACTGGATCTTCCTAACGATAGAGCATAGCTGTCACTGACAACCATGGGGGTGGCAGGCGGGAAGGGGGCTTGTGCTCAGAGCCTCTGGGTCACATCTGGACCCCCCTCGCTCTCTGCCATCCTGTGCATATTGGCAGGTGTCTCACTTGTACGCCTTCTATTTAATAAGTAGTAATGATACCGGTGATGAGAAATCCATCACAGCCAACCACGCACTGCCCCTTACCCTACTGCCTCATCTGGTTATGGCACCTGTTGCATTTCAGGGTAAAGAAACTAAACTTAAGAGAGGGAAAGTGGCCGCCGGTATGATAACCAAGACTCGAATTCAGGCCGTGACTCAGGATCTTCCTGTCCCACGTCCGGGGGCCACACGGCACCCGTGCTCACCGCCAGGGGTGCAGGCTGGGCTCCCCACTTCCCCCTCCAGTGGAGGTCTGCATCGGAGCCGCATGGCCTGGGGACTGCAGGGAATCAGGGGCTGCGTGACAAAGACACTGAGTCACTTCTGCACAAAAGGTCCAAGAAATCTCAGTGAGAAAGGAACGGTGACGACAGCAAGGCCAGTGCTTCTTGGTTCTGTCTGGGACGCCGTGGCTTGAAGTGAAGAGAAGATGTGAGGCTGTCTCAGTTTTCAAAGGTGACCCTTCCTCACTGTGTCAAGAAGTCACTAGAATGTGAAACAAGATTCTGTGAGTCAAACTTCAGAACTGTGAGGCCAGTCCCTTTAAAATGACTCCTTTTACCAGCCCGTGGAGGACACACAGCTTCGGGGGCCCCCTTTAGTTGATAGGAGGAACAGTGCTTTAGTGGGGCTTGAATTTTTCACACCGCAGGGCCCTGGTCTGCAGGAGGAGGCCACGTTCAAAGAATCCCACGAGGTTTCGTTCAGAGGTTTTGGTTGGGATGTTGGGATGCTGCGGCAGCCCTTGGTCTAAGGCTGGGGTATCACTGACCCCAGAGCTGTTATAATTGCGGCCCGCCACACTGCTGGGGCCTCCTGGGAGCAGGTGAGGCTGGGATGCCGTGTGCAGTCACGCCGTCTCGGAGCTGGAGCTGCTGCCAGCGCGGCTGTCTGTGTCTGGGATGTCTGAGCTCTCTGACCCCGGTGGACGCTCGTCACTTGGCGGGGCGGGGAGACCTCCCCAAGATGCTCCTACTCTCCACGCAGCGTCCTGTGCTGGCGTGGATCAGAGGGCCCCCGGCAGCGTGTTCAGCAGTGTGTTCTCTCCCACAGGTGGGTTCGACCTGGACATCAAAGGCTGGGGTGGCGAGGACGTGCACCTTTACCGCAAGTACCTGCACAGCAACCTCATCGTGGTGCGGACGCCCGTGCGGGGCCTCTTCCACCTCTGGCATGAGAAGCGCTGCGTAGACGAGCTGACGCCCGAGCAGTACAAGATGTGCATGCAGTCCAAGGCCATGAACGAGGCGTCCCACGGGCAGCTGGGGATGCTGGTCTTCAGGCACGAGATAGAGGCCCACCTCCGTAAACAGAAACAGGAGACAAGGAGCCAGAAAACATGAGCTCCCAGGGGCCCATGTGGGGAGACGGTTTATTTTTTTCCTTTTGCAATTACCAAATGAATGGCTGCAACAAGGAAAAGATTGCCCTGAAGGGCAAGAAAAGAATTTGACTGATGAAAAGAATTTGATGAGTAAAGCAGGCGAGAGGAGAGCCTCCTGTTTCCCTCTGCCTGTTTAGCTTCTGCAACAGGAACCGAAACCCCTCAACCTGGCCGGCAAAAACAGCCCAAACGCACCCGTCTGGTGTCTGACAAAGGCGGCCTGATTGTGAGATTGTGAGCCTAATGGTGTGTTTACAGCAAAGCAAGAGCTGTTTGTTTTCTATGCTTACTGAAATATTCATGAACAAAGGCCAGTTTTGTAAAAAGTTCATTAGAATGGAAGGCCAGCACATCCCTCCCTGAGTGATTATCAGCGGGGCTGTAGTGTCTGGGATGCTGAAATGTCAGGAGGCCGGTGAGGAGAGACCCTGTGAAATTCAAAGATATGCTCATCGTGATCTTTGTGAATATATCAAGCAAAACCAAATGGACTAAAAACGAAAAAAAAAACCATAGCTATTGTATCATCTCTGCCCAAGATTAACCAAAAATAACCTGCTCATCCATATTTTTGGTGGTAGTTTTAACAATCTGTTAATTTTATTTAAAATGCACTTTTTTGGCTTATGAATTATATTCTGCTTATTTAATTACCAGTTCGCAAGCCTTACTAAGAGAGCATAAGTAGCTACATTTTTACATTTTTTTGAGAAGATACTTTTAGCTGCATTATGAGAACTTTCAGTTCAGAGCATCGGATTGTTGCCCACATCCGAGGACGTGGCAGTGCCCTGCGGGCACTGGACAGCAGACGGTCACCGTGGGGAAGGCGTGGCCTGGGGCTGCTGACCGAACGAGACACCCGGATACTTTATCTGAAGAGTATTTCCGGAGAGGAGCAACTGAACACTGGAGGGAAAGGAAAATGTACTTTTTACCTTAACAGAAAAGGAAACATTCAGACTGGTGATAGAAGTCAGAAAACACATTTTCTCCTCAGGGGAACTGGGGACCACTTTCTTACTTGTTTAAATAAACCAAAGCTGACTGTGTGAACCAAACATTCTTTTTTCCAAGCAGGGTGCTGTTCCTGGCTTCTGGCTTCCACGAGAAGAAACACAGGAAAATGTCTTTTGTGAAAGGTCACTCCATCTGCCGGCATCCAGCGGGACGGAGGATTGTGCTGTGTGTTCACCCACCCCAGCCAAGGGGCAGTAACTAATTATTTTTTAAATTAAGCTGTTCTACCCAGTCAACCAAGATGCTTCTGAAAATCGCCTTTTATTATAGTTTCCAACTATTTTAAAAAAAATAAACACAGTTAACATTGAGTGGTTTCTACATTCATGTGAAAATTTTTATTAGCCAGCACCAGATGCATGAGCTAATTATCTCTCTGGGTCCTTGCCTTCTGTTTGCCCACAGTCAACTCATTGTTTAAAAGCTTCAGGAACATTCAAGCTGTTGGTGTGTTAAAAAAAAAAATGCTTTGTATTGATTTGTACTGGTAGTTCATAAAATTTAATTAAAACCCAGGACATGAATGGAAGGTGGCATTGGACAACTAATAAAATGTGATTTGTGGGTACGATTTCTTCTTGGATTAAGAACACCACATCTTTAGTTTTTGGAGAACGGTTTTCTGTGTGTGTAGACCAGGGTTCCCTGGCTGTGGCCCTATAGCGTTTCAGGCTAGATCACTCCCTGCTGGGGGCTGTCCTGTGCCCCCAGCATCCCAGGTCTCTCCCCCGTCGAAGCCAGGAGCACCTCTCACCCAGGGGGACACCTAAACTGGCTCCTGTCACCGCCAGGTGTCCCCTGGGGGGAACTGGTCTAGAGGGAGGAGAGAACTGTAGTGAAGAACCTGGCAGTTAAAACAGTCCACTCGTCTTTTTGATTAGGAGACGTTGAGGAATGGTTTCCAGGAGGCCTTTTGGCTGTACGTGCGTTTCGTACTTCCGGAGCTGGGAGAGGAGGCTCCAGGCACCTGTCTGTCTTTCCACTCTGTCCTGGGCTTGGTGGGGCCGACCTTGCCCACTCCTGCTGTCTTCCTCTGGGTCAGGAGGTTGCTGTCCCAGCAAGGCCAGCAGCGGGAGCGAATGTCTGATTGTGGAATGAGGTCTCGGGGTCTGGGAATGGGGGCTCCAGGCCGCACTGTGTGGGGACCAGCCATTTGTGCGGGTTTAAATTGGATATCATGGGTGCCTGAGGCAGGGGTTAAAAATGGGATTTTAAAGGATACTGAGGGTGGCTGAAGAGACAACAGCATAGTGTTAAACTATCCATCCTTTCAAAGCTTAGGTAGGTAAACGGTTTTATCAAGAGGCAGGAGCCCTCGCAGAGCACATGCAGGAGGGGTCTGTCTCAGCTTGGTCTGTAACACATACCACAGACAGGGAAGCTTCATCAACCGACGCTGATTTTCCCAGGTTCTGGAGGCTGAAAAGTCCAAGGTCAAAGCACCGCAGATCAGGTGTCTGGTGAGGACTCCCTCTTGCTGTTGTCCTCACATGGCTGAGAGCAGACAGAGGGCTAGCTTTCCTTCGTATTCTTAAAAGGACACTAATCCCGCCATGGGGGCTCCACCCTCATGACCTAGTACCTCTCAAAGGCCCCACCTCCAAATACCATCTCATTAGGCTTCAACTTAAGAATCTTATGGGGGCACAAACATTCATTCCCTAGCAGAACCTGTCCCGTTCCCTGCCCAAGATACTTATTTATAACAGAAGGGTTGGTGATGCCCCACTGGAGCATTATAATCAGGGACTTGACATTTAAAACTTAGACAGCAAAGGATGGCAGTGATGAATGACATCTTCTAAAGGAGGAAGGATGCTACCAGGGAAGCACTGAGGCTGGGGCTTGTCTGAGGTCCCTTCCAGCTCTGCATCCTCCACTGTTGTGACTGTATGTAAATCGCCCAGGAACTGGCCCCAGTCACCCCGCTGGAGCAGGGTCCCTAGTAGAACCTGGGGTTCCGTCCAGCAGCCGTGCACCAACCAGCCTCGTGAGAGCCAGGCGCTGGCACTCCCTCCCGCTCCACACTTGTAACCTAAAGACATGTTGGCAGCTTGCAGTCAGCCCTGGTGGGGGTCAATCCTCTGCTGGCATCCATGGGGGCTGCTTTTGTGCAAGTCTCTTATGTAGGATGCATCGTATTTGCAGTTTCAGTTCAGCGTGGGAATTAGTATCAGGGTTTCCCCAGCCACATGCCTGGGTTCAAATGCAGTTCTTTCACTTCCAGCCCATATGATCTTAAACCTTACACTCATCTCCACCCGTTTCCTCGTTCAGGTTCATGAATGCAATCACATTTATATCATACGACTGACCATGGAATTAGGACACGTCATGCACGTAGCAGGTATTCACATCCATTTGTTATTATCTGATACCAATTTTGCATTCACGACTGTGTCTGCTGTACTTGCCAGCACACCCCGCACCCCTTGTATAATCAGACAGTGGGTCACACAGTAGAGATCATGAACCCATCATGCGTGCACCACTGTCATTTATTTCTGTCATTCTGAAAACAATTTCAGTCTATCCACAGAAGTGTTAGTAGGAGTGTAAAATATAATGAATAGTTCTTCCCTTAAATTCTGTGCTCAGTGATTTGGAGTTGGTGACACCCTAGGCAGTTGAGAGACGTTAGAGGTTTTTGAAGTAAAAAGCATAGCCAGGCACCTTATATACAGAATGCCAACCTTCTAAGGCAGCTAATGTCATTACTTCCATTTTCCAGGTGCAGAAAACCAAGGTTCAGAAATGGCCAGGAACTTGCCCAGAGGCCTGGCCAGAAATTGGCATCATTTTCCCTCCCAGGACCAGCTCCAGAGGGCTTGATGGTCTCAGGGCAGGGGCAGGAGATTTGGCCCGGGTGGAGTCCAGCACCTGTCCTCTTGTGCCTCGGGTTCCCACTGCCCCTCCAGCTCTGGGTCATCACTGGCAGGTTGGAGGCCTCAGAAGCCAGCTCTCCAAGCAGGATCCCAAGGTGTTAGATGTAAAGTCTACCTTGGGTTGGAGGGGAGGGCAGGTGGGAATTCTTGCTTTTTGGAAAGGATCTGACATTGTTTCTGAGGATTGCTGATCAGAGAGAATGCCCTTGGGTGGGCCCTTGGAAGGGTGGGTGTGTTTTACTCCCAACACCCATCAAATAGCTGGCAGCTTTGTGTGGTCCCTATTCTGATGAGCTTTATATCTGAATTCAAAGCTGTTTCTCTTGGCAGGACTCAGGGCTTTGCTGTTGATGCTGCCAAAAACTATGGGGCCTGTGCCAGTTGGTTGGGGGATTTGGGTGGTGGTTTTTTCAACATAGAGAAAAAATGTTCTCTTCAGTCAGCAGAGGTGCCCTTCAAACATCTCTGCATCACTGATCCTCTGACACACCCTCTGGAGTAGCCAGCCCAGTGCCCTTTGGCTGTGTCTGCCTTGTCCACTCTTCCAGGGGTGGGGAGATGAAGTGACACTGTGCTGCCTCAGGCTTTCTTGGCCTCCATCATCACGCAGAGGTTCAGAGAGGGCCAGGCCACATTCATGGCCTCTGCTCAAGACTCACCTGGTGGCTGGCTGTGCAGATGGCCTGCCTTCTACACACAGGCAGTACCCGGGGTGGCAAGGGTGAACTGTACTTATTCTTCATCTACTTGAGGGTCAGACATGTTAGCTTGAATCAAGGTGAGTACAGCACCACTGGCAACTGCCTACCTCAGTCATCAATCACCCAGCTTGTAACCCCACCACCAAAACCACATCCAACTCCAGTGTTTACAAATCTACAACAATTAACATCACCTCTTTGGCTGGGATGTCAAACCTCATTTGAAAAGGGTAAGAAAAATAAATGAAAATTAAAGACAGACCCCACAAAACATGTCTTGATAAATTTAAGAGGATTGAGATCATATCAAAGATCTTTTCTGGCCATGAAAGTATGAAACCAGAAATTAATTA